CTCATCTCTGTATTAAATCTTGTTCACTTTGAGTTGTCAAAAATCAGTGGGATGTAAGGGGATTTCTCAATGTGATTTAGGTTGGTGAGGCTTGGCCTTAGGCACCTATGAGGTTCAGAGGGGAGTTAGTCAATATAATTTTACAGTGGCCTTTCTATAGGTTACCTTCTGGATCACCAAGTTGTTATAGATGTCTTAGAAAAAATGTGTTTTAAGGCATGGACTGAAAGAGGAGATGGTTGTAGCATGTCCATATTATGCAGAGGCCAACATGGATGAGAACGCAAGTATGCTTTCTGTTTATTTACCTAGTTTATATTGGAACACAACATTTAACTTGTGAAAGAATGTTTTATCATCTTTAAACACCAGTTAGCTGCAGCGATGTTACAGTACCTACATTATTGCTTTGTTCTGGACTCCTCTCAGTTTGATACACCCTGCTTTTAATCTCACTAGAAACAGCATTGAATTAACCCTTCAGGACTTCAAGAAACCATTGGTCTAGTTACTCTACTACAGTACTTTTCCTTTTTTTTTTTCATTCTCGTTGTTGAACACCCTGTTATTTTTCCACCACAGGTACAAAAGTATTCTTCCTGGCAATAGGCTTGCTTGTGTGGACCACTTAGATACGGTTGGCAGATTAGATATTAAAACTGTGCTTACTAGAGATATTACACTGGTAACAGCATAATGAACGTGTGCTTGGCCAGCATTATGGTATTCAAACATCTTATAATATGCTTCCCACCAAATACTGCCAATATTTTGTCATCATGTCAGGATTTTATAGTTTAAAGGTGTTTAGGCATTTTTTCTAAAATCAAATAAAGGTATATTTATATAGCTTAGAGAGACAGGTAATCACTGTGAAGCAAGTGTTTCCTATTGCTAAAACAGGCTTTTCATATTTTCCTTGTATTGTTGCCAAGAATCTAACAACTGTTAGATTAAGGTATAAAATTTACAGTAATAGATGCTGTAATATAAAACTGACAGCAGGCAGGATAATGCCATTTTTTAATGATACAGGAAACATGTTTTTTCTTAAAGACCAGTAAAAGAGCCAAAAAATGGGCAATTCTTTGTGATTTTCTTTGCGTTGTTACCAAAAAGGAGGCATGCTGGAGAATAAAATTAACACATGCTTAAACAAGCAGTTATAAAGGACTAAGTAACATTTTCCTGACAGAGATGTGATGGGAAGTTCAGAACCTGAGTCTTTCAGTGTATGTCTTGAAACTTTACCCTGTGTATTGGATCTTTGCTCAGCTATATGCCATCTCTTGATGCTGGTTTTACAGATACAAATCTGAAAAAGACAGCTCAGTCCACCTGGTTTGATATGCCCATAAACACCATGGGATTTCTGACTTCATCTTAGGCATTACTGCAAGACACAATTAAATGGTTTCAGATATACATTTAGTTTCAATTGTCCATTTTATTAAGGATTTATTCAATTTTTGTAAAGTTTTTAACATTCAGTGCTAAACAGAATTCCCCGTGAGGATAACTCAGAAACCAGGATAACTGTTAATTTTTCATTGATTTTTAGAATACTTTACAGCACAGCTTGCATGCAACAATGCCAGAGAAATACTCACAGCAGGAGCTGAGAAACAGAGCTCCTTTACCTCCTCTAAGGCGGAGAGTCCAGTGTTACACTAAGAAGCCATGCTCTTTTAATGAGCAGCTTCAGGCTTTTAGTCTGGAGCTCCTGGCTTTTTCCATGGCCACAGAAATTTTGCAGATGATTAGACAATCATAGTTGCAAGAAATAGTTGCCACAAATACTGGGAGGTTTATGATGCAATTTAAGGGTCAAGACCCAGGCAACCTGGAGCTGACTGTCACAGGCAGGACACCTTGCAGGATGGTACTCTGCCTGCAAGCTCAGTCTGTCCCCCTGCTGTGAGGGCAGCAAGGGTGTCCATGCTCTGGCTGGAGTGAGCAGATAGTCCACTCATGCACTGAGGTGCAATTGACACCTGTTGCTAGCCCACAGTTCCTATTTGTGCCATAACTACCTTACAAATTGGGGTCAGTTGAGGGTAGTTGCTGTTTGCTCCAGTCTTTCTAAGAAACAGACATTTAGTGGAGATGTTTAAAATCTACAAACTCAAAGTAATTAAATTTAAAGAAATGCAAGTGACAAGTGTCACAAGTTCCCAATGCAGCAGCATGGAAAATGTTCACCATTCCCTCCTATGACATCATTTATGTTCGTTTGTCTTCCCTGCAGCTGCTAATGGCTGAACAAATTAAAACTGAAGGTCTCTGGTGACTCCCTTTACAGAAAGGCCTGGAAACACAAAGCTGGTGCTGCTGCTGTTCTCCCTTGACATTTGGTGAGGCAGTTTGATTCAGTTACAGCTGGAGCTAGCAGCTGCTCTGGTTTCCTTAAAGGCTTCATCAGTCTCTTTTGAAATTGCATAGCCAATTCTTTGGAATTCCAATGTGCAACCTCAGTAACTCCTGCAATTAATTCATTGCACAGTGATGTCTTCTGTCCCGTAATTCTTAAAATGGTATTGACTGCTATTTAACAATGTCCTCAAAAAGATCAAGCAGCTACAGATTTCTGTAGGTTTAACACTGGAAATGTTTCTGCTCTTCCCCTGGTATTCAACAGAAATGACTTTTAACCTGATTTATTTAGTGTCAAAACTTAGTCCTTTTTGGCCTTCCATTCTCCTCTTGAGTACCTTGACAGCCTGACAGTTAGCTGAAACGAGAGTACTTCTCATTGGTAAGTTAATTATTCTCCACGTTTCCATGCTGGTTAATTATTTTCCATGTTTTCATGCTGGTTAATTATTTTCTGTGTTTAGCCTGAAGCACCTTAACTGTTTGTATTGACACAGAAAGAAATTATAAAATTGAGGATGTTCGATAAATATTTGTACACAGAAATGTAACCATAATAAATAGCTAATGAATGACCAACTTAGAAGTTAGCTACAGCTGCAGAGTACCCTTTATTTCATAGAATCATAGAACAGTTAGGGTTGGAAAGGACCTTAAGATCATCTAGTTCCAACCCCCCTGCCATGGGCAGGGACACCTCGCACTAAACCATGCCACCCAAGGCTCTGTCCAACCTGGCCTTGAACACTGCCGGGGATGGAGCATTCACAACCTCCCTGGGCAACTCATTCCAGTGCCTCCATTTCTATGGAAAAAAAAAGAAAGATACATTTGTGTGATGCAGTTATACATAATTTCCATTGAATCATCAGTACAAAGCATGTGCTATTCAAACTTTTGAGTGGAAGACTTAGGACAAAAAAGGAGGTTTATATTCTTTATTATAGTCTTAATCAGAAAATATCTTTCTACAGTGAAACACATGAAAATGAAAGATGAAGTTTTATTATTTGTAAAAAAAAAAAACAAACCCAAACCAACAACCAACCTGAAAGCTTTTATTTTTTTCTAATTTTTCTTTTTTTTGGGGGGGGGCAGGAAGACATTTCTTTTTTCCTGCCAGTGTGACTGGAAACAGAAAAAAAAATATTTGAACTTTAAACCATGTGGTTGCAGGATCTTTTCATTTATAGAAAAAAAAATAAAATAAAGTGAGGTTGTTGCTGCCTGTTGTGAGAGTTATTAAAACCACATTCACCCACCCCCCCCCAAAAAAAAACAACAAACCCAAACAAAACAATTTGGCTATGTCAGTTTTCATGTGTGTTTTAAAATTATTAGACAATCAGTATTCAGATTACTTTTTTTTTAACAATTCAAATGTCAAATCCTTGAGTGTAGAGTAAGTCAGCAGCTGATCAATTGGGCAGTTGTTTGAAATGTGCAGTAATGGAATGAAGGAGACTCTTACTGTAGACTTAGGAGGTTAGTTCTCACAGTTTCTGTTGCCCTTTATTTTTGTAATCAAGTGAAATATTTGTGTAGAAATCCTCATATCTGCACCTATGGAACCTCATGAGATGATAGCAGTTGCACAGGCAGCTCTGCACTAACTTTAGTATGCTGTGAGCTGCAGCAGCACCACAAACCAGCAATTATTTTTAAAGGAAATTTGTAGTGGCAGCTTGACTCAGCTCAAATAGAAAACAGAGCAACAACATTTTGACAGGGATCAAAATCACTTCCAAAGGAAATTTTCATTTCAGAAAATACGGATGTTGTCAGAAAGTATGCAAGTGCCACTCTTTTCAGAATACATTGACAGTAAAAATAAATCTATCATAGACGCCTCAGGCCCCAAGAGATCAAAGCCATAATCACATTAGAACTGAAAGACAGAGTCTAAATTTATATAACTACACATATAACAATAACTTAAGAAGTAATGGAAAATGAGTTACTTCCAGCAGTTTTAAACTCAAGCATACTTTGTGAGTCTTGGTTGCTTAAGGTTGTGGATGCCCCATCCCTGACAATGTTCAAGGCTAGGTTGGGTGGGGCGTTGAGCAACCTGGTCTAGTTGAAGGTGTCCCTGCCCATGGCAGGGGGTTGGAACTGGAGGAGCTTTGATGTCTCTTCCCCTCGGTGGGGAAGACCAGCGGGCAGGGCGAGATGCTCCCTCAGCCAGCGCCGGCGAGCAGAGCTCGGGCTGCCGACGGGCACCGGGTGCTGGCTGCGTGCTTCTGGAGACATCGGGAACGGGACCCCCGCCTCCGCGCACACCTGCGGGGCCGCCCGGCGGCTTCGGGGAAGGCGGCGCCACCGCCGCCGGGGTCAGGCAGCGGAAACTTTCCCCGCGCTCCCTCGTAAACACGGCCCGGCGCCTTCCCCCGGCCGCTATTTTGGACCGCCGTGATGTCACGGCAGCGGCACCTTCACCGCCCTGGCCGCAGCCCGCCCTCACCTGCAGGGACGGGGCAGAAAGCAGGGGCGCCCGAGAGCTATTCCCCTCCTCCCGGCGTCCGGCGAGGGATGCCGGAGGGGGAGCGGGGACCGCCGGCCGGGCTGCCGGGCGGGGCGGGGCCGGGTAGGGCAGGGCCGCCCAGCCACGTTATTAATAGCCGTGGCCGTAGCTTGTGAAGGGTAGAGCCGTGGGGAGCATGCAGGGCAACGGGCAGCAAGCGGTGGCGGGGAAGGGCCATGAAGACCACCTCGGCGGGGTAGGGGCAGCTGATGGTGGGCTGCAGGGTGCCGCCGTGCCTATGCTGCCGGCCATGGAGGTGGCCGAGGAGCCGGAGAAAGCTCCGGGTGGCAAGAATAAGGACCCCAACACGTACAAAGTGCTCTCCCTGGTAAGGGCCGGGGTGTCGTAGGGGCCGGCGGCTTTCCCCGGGGCTCGCCCCGCCGGCGGTGCGTGTGAAGCGGCTCGGCTGCGGGCAGGTGTTTCGCCCCGGACGAACGGACAAGGCTCTGCCCGGCCCGTCGCGGATGGGGGAGGGGGCCGTGGTGGGGCCGTCAGGGTCTCCCGGAGGGCTCTCCCGCCGGTATGGGGCAGCCTCGGCAGCAGCGGCTCCCCAGGACGGCCGGGCGCGGTGCTGCCGGACGGATCTCCCTTCCCTCCGCGGGAGTGCGCTCTGGGTGGATGCGCGGAGCTTGTGCGTGTTACCGCTGACAGGCGGCAACCTGCCGGGAAGCGGGATTCGTGCTCTTCTACTTGGTTTATTTTGCGGTTTTCACAGCGCTCAGGGCTGAGTCGTCTCGATTCTTTTGTAGTGTTAGTGGTTGTCCCGTCTCCCACCGTGTCGTTTTAAATGGTTGGTGTAGAGGGTGCCCCAGGGAAGGCTAAAGCAGGAAAATACGGTTGGAAATGCTAAGAAGAGTTCAAGAGCCAAAAGGCCAGAGAAAGTATAAAGGCTTAATTTGGAGTATAAAGTATAATAACTTAATTTGAGACACTTCCACCCCTGGCTCAGAGGCCTTGATGGCCAAAGCCATTGTTAACAGGTAGGTCACTTTCCAGTTTTAGCACTGTTGCTGTATCATAATTATCCTCCCTGTAGAGATGTGAAAATAAGGCCTTCCAGACTGCCTGGAGTTATCATTATGATGCTAAAGTCATTACCGAGGTGAAAGAACTGCAGCATTCTTGGAAGGAAGCTTCAGTGGAGCTGCAGTAGACTTTTATTCCATATATAAAAATATATATATATGTCTCTATAGGTAGATTTCACTGCATTAAAGCTTAAGGATCAAGATGCCTTTCCAAATTTACCCATAGCTTTATAATCTGGTTATTCTTTCAAATGAATTGTCTACCTCATAGCAACTGTGTTGGTTGTACTATCTGACAATGGGTGGTAAGTTGAACTTCCAAGTTTGTCAGAACATAAGGAAGATACCAAAATTCGTGTTAAGGTGTTCCATGGTAGTTTCCATGTAGAAGTTTTTTTTTGGCAACTTTTCATATGAAAAGTACTCTTAAATAAAAGCTTGTAGCTTGTTTCATTACTTTGTTCTGGGAAGGTTAGGTTATGCCATAAAAGCCACTGCAGTTGGATGAGCTTTTTTCGCCATCCAAAGCTCAGCTTTTTTCAGGCTTAGAAATAAGTGGTAATAGTGGAAATAGTGGAAAATAATCATATGCTATTAACAAACTAATGTTGCTCTGAGCTTTTTAGGCACTAGTACAGCAAAGTGATTAGAGATACATAGGCTCTTAATGACTGGAACTGAACACAAGTTAAAATGTTTGCAGGCACTTATTCTTCTGAAATAAGTCCTTATTTTTCAAACCATAGCTGTTTGCTGTGACTTGGCAAAATGTTCATCCTGTGCTGACTGAAGTGCCAGGGTGAAATATACGTCATCTCTGAAGAAATAATTTAGAACTTCTACACATAGATGACTGCTGTATTATTTTTGGCAGTTGCAGGCAGTGATATAATTTAGAATATTCAGAGAGAACTTGAAAAGCTTTCTAAATACTACAGGTGTTACTGGATTGAGTAAACCAAGAATGTATTTAATCTCAGGTTGCCCAAGGAAGTTGTGAATGCTCCATCCCTAGCTGTTTTCAAGGCCAGGTTGGACGAAGTATTGGGTGACATGGTCTAGTGTGTGGTGTCCCTGCCCATGGCCAGGGGGTTGGAACTTGATGATCTTAAGGTCCTTTCCAACCCTAACTAATCTGTGACTCTGTGATTCCAAGCCTCACGTTAGGAAGTGGAAAACTGGAGTTGGAAATGGACTTCTGTTCTTTCTCGCAAGCCAATGCATTGATAATGCCATCCTCATGTAAGAAAAAAGTGAGTAGGCTTACCTGCTTGGTGTTTTGGTTGGGCAATGTGAAACTATAAAAGTGACTAGACATAAGTAAACTCTCTTTGCCTGTGTGTACTGTAGCTGCATGCACTGTTGCTTCCTTTATTTAAGCAGATTAAAAAATAAACCACCCCCCCCCAAGAAAAAAACCACCCCCCCCAAAAAACAACCAAAAACCAAAACCAACCCAAAACCTGATTTTAGGTAAACTTATGATGTGTTTGTTTTTTTGGCTTTTTTTTTGATAAAAGCAGATGAGTGCATTTCTAGTGATTAGTGAATACTTGAATTACTACTTTTTCATTTTCCTGGGAAGCTCAGACTTTGTTTGCGTTCCCCTCTTCCTGTTTGGGTACCTGCCACCCTGTAGATGCCTGTGCAATTTTTGAACAGAACCTTGATGCTCTCAGCTTCTGTCCCTGAGCCAGCCTTACCCAATTACAGAGGAACTGCAAAGTTCCCAGGTGCAAAAGTTTGTACCATGTGGACTTTACCCATGGGTTTTATTGGTTGTGCTAGAAGCCTCTGTGTTACCTGGAGGTACTCGGCGTGTTGGTTACGGGAAGATGTAAGTAGATGAGGAAGTGGTATGGAGTCACTTCCACTTCTAGCAGTGCTTGTTGTGGCAGGCATAATTTGAAGTTCAGCTGTAGGTTTTCATACCATGCAGGTTGATCTTCTGTTGCTGCACAGGGAGAATTCCGCAAATGATGGGACAAACCCACGGTATTTACTAACCTCTGAGGCAAAGAAGTTGAAGCATCCAGCTTTAAACAGTCATGAGAGGTGGTGATCCTTCTATCTGTTTATGCAGTTTCTGTGCACACCTTTTCGTTTAGTGTCTTGCCAATTTCTGAGATTGTACCTTTGTCCCTCAAAGCCCAGTGAGTTGTCTGCAGGCTTCTAGTCCCTCCAGGCTCACCAGCTGCTGTTGTGCGACAGAGCAGTATAACTCTTGCTTGGGTTTGAGGCTTTCTATTCCAGTTTGCCAGTGACTCTCAGGCATTGCATTTTGGTTTGATTCACTCATTCCATTAAAATAAACTTTTCCATGCATTTATAACAGCTGAAGGGGAAAAAAGTAAAAAAATAGACAAGGTTTCTTTTCAACAGTTTCAGGCTTCCTTTGTCAGAAGTGGGAAACTCATTTAAGGTAACACTTTGTTTAGAAAATTTCTTAGCACTTTTGCAGCTTCGTAATTCTTCATTAGAACAAAAAAAAAAAAATCAAAAAATTCCAGATAAGGTCCTGAACCCAGGAGAGTGTTAGCCTCCTATAAAGAATAACACTAGCATTTTGGTGTGTATAAAGGTAATGAATTGTTAAGTTTTAAAAATTGCTGTTGGAATACACTTAAAAATATTTTTAAGTCTGGGATATTTTTTCCTTGTACTTTTTTCACTAAAGCAGTCCAGTCTTTTTTTAAGACTAGCGTTTGATGCATGTGCCAAACACTATAGTCTTCCGAAATATTGTTTTGTTCAGTTACCTTCTGCAGCTTGCTGAGAGGGTAGATAGAACTTGTATAATAACCGTAAATTAGAACAGTTTTATATAACAAATTAAGACAGTGTAGCTCTTTGGCATGTGCTCTCAGAAAGCTGCTCTGTGTTTTACAGCTGGCTGCAGGTGCAGTGAGAAGCAATCCAGGGTATGTGGCTGCACTCCTGTAGGTTTGCTTACTTTTTCTTTTGAATGGTTGGTGAGCTCTTCATTAACCTGATGATCATACTAAGATAGTGCATGGCATGGACAGGGCCTTGTAATGAGCTGTGATCTGAAGCCAGTGAAGGGTATCATGATAAAGATGACATCTTTGGAAGCCACTGCACTAGTCTGGGTTGCCTTTTTATCTAGCAGTTAAAGTGTGCTGGGCTGTATCCAGTTGCTGGTAAGCCAAGAAAAGCTTTTGCTTTGGTGGTATTCCATCCCACGTGGAATACTGTGTCCAGGCTGGGGCCCTCCAGATCAATTCAACTGGAGCAAGCTCAGCAGGGTGCCACCAAGGTGGGCTGGTGCTCTCCTTGTGTGAGGTGAGGTAGAAGGCCCTGGGCTTCTTCAGCCTTGGGAAGAGGTGGCTTCAATGAGGAGCACCTAATGGCAACAGTTGAGGGACAGCTCTGAGGTTGTCAAGAAGAAGATGGAACCAGGCTTTATTGTAACTCACGTGAGGAGAGGAAAGACAATGAAAAGAAAGTGTTTGTGCCCAGACCTTGTGATTTGGATCATAGTTATTCACTCCAGCCAACTTCGGCATAGCTGTTTTTATGAGTATTGGTCAGTTCTAAAGCACTGGAATTAAGGACTAAGTATTTTGTGCCTGAGTCTGGGAGATGTGGGCACCATGTTCAGTCTCTCCTCTAAACTTTTTTGGCCCATTTTAGCCTTTTTTTTTAACTGTTTTGCTTTATGTGCCTTGCCTTTTTTTTTCCCTTTTCAGTAAGTCCTGAAATGACTTTTCCCATGAGAGTGCTGGATTGTGCTTAGATAGAACTTTTTGCGTTCCAAGAAACTCCACACAGACTAACAGTAATTTTGAAGTGTCTGACTGTTAAGCGATTTGAATTTTTTAGCATTGAACAGCCTTTGGTGAAATATGAAGTAGAAAATGACAGTGAGAGGATGGCCATAGTTTAAGTAGACTTTGAAGTGCTTTTTGGCTCAGAAATATTAAAGCAGTTCTTTGCCAATCTCCAATATGTTAATGTTTTGTAGGAAACTCTGTTCCAGTATTTGGAAACAAGGGTGTTTTAAAGCAAGTGTCTTGCCTGTCCTCCTTCAACATTACAGCTCTCCAGCTCCAGTGGTGGCTTGTTTTAAATTCTGAAGACCTGATAAAAACTGGTGTTTGACAAAATATTCTTTTATTATACTTGCTGTTGATGCAATTAGATGCATGTAAGTAATAATGCAGTTGTAACCATAAATGCATGCAATAAATATGTTGCTATCCAATTTAATCCATGAAAAGAAGATTTGGGGGTTGGTGAATTTTTTACCGTTTCTCTTCAGTCAACTCATTTTTCAAGG